CACCACTATTCTAACACTATTTATAAAAACCAAATAAATGGATAAGCAAAGTGTACTTAAGTAAAATGGAATACTGCCCATCCAGTAGAACAAATGAAATCTCAATACATGTTAAAATATGCACAGAGCTTGAGGCATTATGCTGAGTGAAACAAGTCACTCAGGTATCAGGCACCATCGTAATTCACCTGTTCATTCATCAAAAATGAAATGGAACGCAGAAAGACCAATATCCTAGGCAGTAGTGAGCTGCAATAGCCTGGTATTGGCCATTTTGAATTAGAAAATCATTTGGCTTACTCTACTGGGAATAACACAATCAAGAGAAATGGTGTAGAATTTGGATCACGATAGTGGGGTGGGGGAGGAAGCATTTAGGAACTAGAGGAAAGTTGTATTTTTCATCATTGCTACATCTCACCCTGACTGGCTCTTCCCTGAGACCCCTCTGCAAGGGATCTCCAGTGGCCTACAAATGGGCTTTGGGTCTCTACTCCACACTCCCCCCCTCATTCACTATGATAAGATATTTTGTTCTGATGATGCCTGATACCTGATCCCTTCGACACCTCGTGATCACACAGGCTGGTGTGCTTCTTCCATGTGGGCTTTGTTGTTTCTGAGCTAGATGGCTGCTTGCTTACCTTCAAGCCTAATCTGTCCTTTTATGAGTGACTTGTTTCACTCAGCATAACGGCTTTCCCCTTGTGCCACACTGACTGGGATCCAAACCACCCTGAAGGGAGGGAATACCTCTCACCTACTGCTGGACTCTGATAAGTGGTCTCTGGGAGGCAGCACACCGTCCCATGAATTTGTCCAAAGTTACTAGTGTAATTGAGGACAATGATGAGAGGCCAGCAACTTATTCAGAGAGGTTGTTTGATGCCCTACCGGCTACACCCCAATAGACCCTGAAGCACCAGATAACCACAAGGCCAATAAGGTAGTTTTTGTTTCCCGGGCCACCCCAGACATCAGGAAAAGTTACAGAAACTAGAAGGGTTTGCAGGGGAAAACATTAGTGAATTATTAGAAATAGCAGGAAAGATTTATAACAGTAGTGACCCACCAGAAGAGAAGTAAGCCGAAGCAATAGCGAGAATCCGCACCGTAACTGCAGGGAGACCAGAACCCCACCCAGGGCCAGGCAGGCAGAACAGACAAAACCCATGCAAACCACTAAGCAAGAACCAATGTGCCTACTGCAGAGAAGAATTACACTGGAAGTCCAACTGCCTAAAACCACCTAAGCGCAGAAATCAGCCCCGCTGGGCAGACTCCACCCATTCCAGTCTTAAAACTGGAATGAGGAGGTCAGAGTACCACGGTCCCCCTGAAGCCCATCATAACCCTGAAAGTGGGGGACGGGCCTGTAACACAGGGGCAACCAACTTGGTTCTCAAGGAAGCGCAGGCTCTATCAGCAAAAAGAAGACTACCATTCAAGAAGCAACAGGCAAATTAGAAACTGTCTCTTGGACTAAGCTTAAGGGGGTGAAGCAGCCCCGGGGTGAGTCTCTCTGACTCTTCCTTTGAATGACAGTTATCTCTTGACAGTCACCGAGCCTTCCTCTCAAGCATGTGAGGTGAGACTACTGACTGAAGTGCTGGGAGTCTGGGCAGAAGATAACCCCACTGGGCTTGCAGCCCGCATGCCTCCCTCCAGTCGTGGTTCAGATAAAACCTGGAGCAAGCTCAGCGGCAATGCGCCAGTACCCTGTCTCCTATAAAGATAAGGAAAGAAGTCTGCTGACCTTGGAAGGGATTGAAAGTAAAAAGAAGAAATTTTGCAGCTGATAGAAACCATCTGGACACCCAGTAAAGTGACTGTTATGCATTGGCCTGGCCATCAAAAAGGAACAAACCCAGTGGCCCTAGGCAAAGGAAAGGCAGATGAAGCACCTTGAGCCGCAGCTTTAAGAATGGACCTGGTACTGGATGCCTGACTGTCTACACAGCTTACCAGAAAGTGAAAGTAAAAGGCTCCTGAAGCAACAGCCCGCCTATACATATCTAGACTCTAGCAAACTGGCAGGACTGGTCCAATGAAATTATTGGGCCCCTCAGCTCACCAAGGCAGTGGAAGAAGTGGGGACTGCCTGTCAGAGTTGCCTGCAAGTAAATGCTCAACCTGCCTGTGCTCCACACCCTGTCAGGACCAGAAAACAGGATGCAAGGTAGGAAAGCACTGGGAAGTAGATCTTACCAAGAGTAAACCAGGACAATGGAATTATAGGTATTTGTTAGTTTTTGTAGACATTTTTTCAGGTTAGGTAGAAGCATTCCCCACCAAGAAAGAAACTGCTCAGGTTATTAGGTAAAAAGTTATTAGATGAGATAGTCCCTGGGTGGAGGGTGCCTAACACCACTGGGTCTGGCAATGGACCCAGATTTGTTGCTAAAACTATACAAACATTAAGGAAAATTTTAGGCACAAATTGGAAATTACGGAGTGCCTATCACCCTCAGAGCTCAAGGCAAGTTGAAAGGATGAATCGAACCCTAAGAGACTCTACCAAATTAACTATAGACCAGCATTGGGGTGGTTGGTTCTCCTGCTTTTAACTTGTTACCCCATTTAAAGTCCCGCTACAACCTGGTTTGTGTGTACCTCTGGGCTCGCCCCTTGTCTTTATGTCCCTATTTTCAACCAAAACAAGTACTCTGAGCTGTGCTTATGGTCCATGTAATCCTCCAAGTGTACCTATTCGGAAGAAAGAGAACACCCAGGCATAATCGCTAGAAGGACCCGATCTCGCAGAGCCGCTCCTATATTAGTACCCCTTCCTCTTAGGAGGTCTGAGTGACTAGATCCTTAGCCCTAAGCACATCTGCCCTTGTTAAAGCCCGACAAGGTAGCTTATGCGTGGCCCTAAGAGAAGACTGTTGCTTTTATGCAAACAAAACTGGAATTGTTAGACAGACCCAAGCAGGAGGACGAGTTAAAGTTTGTGTAGGAGCCAGTCAAACTGAGTCAGGAAACTTCAGTATGCTCCCAAAAATCAGTAAAGAAAGCTAAGGAATGTGATAAGAAATGTCATGAGGAATGTGATAAGAAATGTCATGAGGAGGTGATAAAGACGTTGAAACTGTTCTATGTAATAAAGAAATTGAAATTGTTCTAGGTGACAAGGACGTTGGAATTTCTCTGGGTGAAATTGTTCTAGGTTTGCAATAAGAACAGGTGAAGGCAGATGATCCCAGGCTTTCATAAAGTTCCGCTTAACCAAATGTTCTGCTTCCGTACCCTGCTGCTTTTTAGAAAAACCACAGCTTCAGCAGATAGCTGAGTTTTTTAGCTCTGTGGTGTTAACTATAAATTTTAAAAAGGGGGAATTATAGAGAGTCAATGAGTTTTAACTGAGGTGTATTAGAGACTCTCTGGGGCGCTTAAAGACACTGCGTCCTTATGATGTTTTCCCACATTCTGAGACACAATGAGTACACTGAGAACACAGCTGTATTTGTTAAGATTAGTCCCAAAGAATTGTTTGTGCTTAGTGCAATTTTATCACGATGTTATTGTTACACTATGCGCTATGCACCTTTGCCTCATTAATATATAAAGCTGTACTTTGGAAATAAACTTTGCCTTTGGATCATCAGTCTACTGGCCACTCTTTTTCTTCAGGTCGTCCCTCACTGCAGGTCCATACCACGCTGGACGGTAACAAGCAACCATAAATCATTTTGACTAAGTGAAATTTACTACAGTTTGGTTTTAATATCTAAATACGCTAAGTATCTTAATACCCTATCAGTTGAAAATCAGCATAGAAACAGGAATAAAAAGCATGACAAAATCCTTCACCCATTCATAATAAAAACCCTCAAGAACCAAGAATTTAAAAAACTTACTCAGCCTGACAAAGATTCCCTACCATTGAGTTGAATCTGAGTTTATTTTAATTAAAACAACAACAATACCTCAGTGCCATAGAAGACTGATGCTGACCCACTGTCACCCAGGATAGAGTAGAACTGCCCTGAGGGTTTGCAAACGCACCACCTTCTTTTGCAGAGCAGCTCGTCATCTCAAACTGATGATCTGGTGCTTCACAGACTGACTCACACTCACTATCCCAACAGGGCTCCTTAACCTGATAAAAGGTTTCTACAAATGATAGGGGGAAATTGAATGTTTTTTCCCAAACCAAGATGGAGAACAAGTCAAGGATGCCTGCTCCCACCAATTCTAATTAATGTTCAACTGTAGACAACAGCCAGTACAATGAGGCATTTTTTCCTAAAGCAAAAGGCATCCAACCACATTGGGAAAGATGCAACATAGTGCTGTTGAGTCCAGGAGAAAGAGCACTCCTGACACAAAGAGCAGCAATGGCTTGGCATGCTAAGAAACAGGGAGGTGGCCAGGAGGGTTGAGGCATGCATGATACAGAGAGTGATAAGAGATAAGCCAGTTTATTGTCAAGGGGCGGACTGAATCGTCTTCCAAATTAGGAGAACAAATTGAAGTTGGTGTCATGGAAGATCAACAAATAATTTCAAGTTTAAGAAATGTGTACCATCTCTACCATAAAAATAAAGGCCTCCCACAGTTCTTTAATAAGTTAAACTGTTTGAATAAAACCTAAAGCTGGTGCTTTTATTAATCTCTGGATTAATGACTGATTTGGATTTAAAATTTGCTTAATGCTCATCAGACTGTAGAGCTTGTAAGTTTCATTTCAATGATATTGATTCCTTTATACCAACAATGAAAAGTCTGATGTGCTTCCTAGTTCACAGTTATTTCTCAAATGCGTGACCTCACTCAAATTTCTGGTTCACAAATTGCATTTCTCCCTAACAAGCGGACTTCTCTGGCTCTGTCATTTATTAAACGACATTTTACTACTTTTGTTCCTGCCTCAGTTTAATGCTTTGCTTTCCCCCAAACCGTGCCATGTGTTTTCCCTAAGGTCTAGCAAGACAGGTAAGAGGCACTGGCATTCTAGACATTCTAATAGGTTTTGAAATACACAGGAAGGAGCTTACTTCTCCGGCATAATAAAGTGCAGCAAGGACCAGAGCTCTTTGAGGGAATTCTGAAGAGGGGTCCCCGTAATCAGGAGCCTATGGTTGGACTTGAAATCAATCAGAGTTTTATACAACAAAGAGTCATCATTCTTCAACCGATGGGCTTCATCCACTCCCAGAAAGGCCCAGGTAATACTGCCCAGCACAGTCTACAGTAAAAACAAAACAGAAGGAGCCACCAGGTCAGAAGGGAACCCAAAGGTACACATAGACATGTTAGTTCTTCAACATCTTAAACTACATTAGGACTCTTAAGTTTACTTTGCTGATATCATTGGGGGAGGTCTACTCAAAAGAGAAAAATCATCATCATCTAAAAGGCATAGGTAGGTCTCTTATACCAGGTATTACTATGTGTCCCTTGACAATGACAAAAAATTGGTATACTGGGCAAAAACAAAAGAAAAAAAAAACCACGATTGTGTATTCTCTCCTTAATTATGATTCTTTTTTGCTTATTCTGCACCCACCTCTCAGGCATGGAAACACCAAGAATCACCAAACCGAACTTATTTGCACTTACTGTCACTAACGAACTCGATCTACTACACAGAATTCTTAGTAACTGTACAAAGAAAAAATTTAAATACCTCAATTTGCCTTCCTCACAGAGGCCATTCACACATGCTCTATCCCTTTAACAATGGTATGATGGAGAATGCCCAAGATGGACTCAAGCATGGCTACATTCAAGTGGTATTCAAGTCGCTGACTAAAATATCAAGGTAAATTATTGAATACCCTTTCATCCTGTTAACTGGAGTTGGTAATCTAAGGACCCTTTCAGCTATGTAGCTTTATTTATTTCTAACCACAAATCTGTTGAAATTTTGGTTTGCTCATTTGTTTCTTTAAAATATATATCACAGCACACACCTACCATTAGAAGGCACGTCATATAAAAACCTTTTAGTTATCAATTACCTACCTTATCTTTTAAAAGGATTTCATAGGTTGTTATAAGTGCGTTGAACTTCAGCCTTTTGGTTTGGGAATGAATCCATTCATATTCCCTAATCTTTAAGGGGGAAAAAAGGGTAATTAAGATAAAATTTCTACTTGTACCTTTCTTCATTACCATTAAGTCTTGTCATAAAATGCTACAAAGATGTGTCAATAAACCTGATTAGAATTTCATGAAATTCCTATGCATCCTAAATTGACTTAAGTAACCAAAGAACATTGCAACTAGAGTTCCAGTGAAAAGACAGATCACTGAACAATGACCATCTGACTGCCAGAATTCAAGAAACATGGCCATAGGCACATTTGACCAAGAAATGCCTTCCTTCAGCAGTCAAATCTTAGAGACGTGAACTAATGTAGGGTTCTCACAGAAGAGAATTGTCTTAGGGAAATGTAATGTGATTACTCTTTAGGGAGGGTAACAAACACACTTACATTAACAAAATGAATTTCAACTCTGGGATTCAGTCCAAAATTTCACTGTCCTTAGAGTAGGAAGATGTATCCCCAAGAAAAAGGTAAAGGAATTTTATAGGATGAAAATGTAATTTAGTATGAATGAAAATTAAGTCCATGTAAAGCAGTAATTCTCAACCTTTCACAGGGGTTGCCCAATTTATAACAGTAGCAAAATTACAGTTATGAAGTAGCAACGAAAACAATGTTATGGTTGGGGTCACCACCACATGAAGCACTGTAAGAGAGTCACGGCATTAGGAAGGTTGAGAACCACTGATGTAAAGGAACACACAATAACTGACAGAGTCAAACAATATGTGCAACCAGCTAGCACAAACGGTTCCTCTGCAGTTTTATTGCCAAGTAAGAAATTGAAGAACAAGATAATCAAAGTCTGCTGGTCTAGGAACTACTATATGCTTAAAACCTCAAAATCAGGCAGTGGAATCTGCCAGGATTTAAGTTAGATATATTTAATGAAAATAAATGTGAGTTAACCTGAAAACATACAGCTCAAATCCATTTCTTGCTTACTCTGCACCCCAGCTCTGAAGCATGGAAATACCGAGACACAAAACTGACCTTGTTTACATTTATTATAACCAATGAACTCTATCTACCACAAGTAACTGTCATTTCTGCGCCCTGGAATGGCAAAATAACTCCCATTTTTATAATCTAATATAAATAAGGTGGTCTTGAGTATATAAAAATCAGAAAAAACTTAATAGTTATACTTTTGCTTTTCTTTAAATAATATGCACATTTTAAAGGGGTCTGAATTGTATTTTTATGATACATATGAAGGGGCTTCAAAGAAACTTGTAAAAATATTCCATTATCTTTCAATTTCCTTTTCCCATGGACTTTTCAGAGCACCATCATACTTCGTAAAATCTGAGACAGAGCAAACCATCAGAGTACTAACTTTACTAGACTCTCATGGTTTTAGGTCGATTCTGAAAATATATGTACAAGTCATCTACCCGCTCCGTTCACACACCGTGTTTCTGCTCATCAGATCACCGATGTAAACTACTACGTTAATCTCTGGAGCCCAGATTTCAAACTCCCTCTGCCACGAGGTGAGGGTGGAGAGCGGGACGACTATAAGAAAAGGGCCGTAGAGCTGGTGTTGATGGAACAGGTAGGAGAGGAATGATATGGTCTGGATGGTCTTTCCCAGGCCCATTTCATCTGCAAGGATGACACTGTTACTTCTGCAAGGGGAAAAAACAGACAAAAGAATGATCAGGTCACAAAACACAGAAGTGCAAAAACAGCTATGATACCAACATCTCAGTGTCAGCCAAGCAAGCAAATCAGTTGTGAGCTTTACCGGCAAACACCGGCAAACACTGACTAACAGCAACTGATCTGATTCATCAGACTTGTGAAACGCTTGTAACATGAACTCCTTACGTAAGAGAACACAAGTTTGGTTACATTGGTACATACAAGCAACAGACCTTGGGTTCCATCGTTGTGTGATACAATGGCAACTTGGCTACCCACCTTGCATTGAACCTTGCAGTTTCTCAAACTGTACTCAAAGCATCAAGCCCACTCTCCTGCAAGGTGTTTAATGTGGTAATTACATGCTACTGATACACAAGACTGGTTTTAAGTACAACACAGGCTAAAAGAGCAACGCACGCATACAGCACAGGATACTACTGCTGGACCTCCTCCTGAACCTACTGAATCCGACTGCCGTGGAAAAGCTTCTGGCAGCGGAATTTGGAGTCAACGCTGACGGAGAGCCTGATGTGGTGGTCTTAAGACTCTATGCTGAAAAACAGTGATCTAGGATATGCGCTGGATTTCAACATGGGATTTGGATAAAAGACTGCAGATAGAAGAAGAAAAGGAAAAAAAACTGGTGCAAGAGAAGTATGGTCAGGAACAGAAAACCGTTCCTGGGACAGAAAATTAGGAATACATGTGCAAGACCAGTGACAAAAAGTTGGATGATGGAATTAAACAGTTCTTGAAAACTAGGCCACTGAAGGTTTACAGATACACATAGCATAGACATGTGTAATTAGTGAACTGTAGAAAAATAAAATAATACAAGTCAAGAAAACCAAGACATTTAATTCAACAGCTTTTAAAATGGTTTAAATCATATCTGTGTTCTATATATGTGCAAGGTAGAGGCAAAGCACAGGAAATAACAAACAGAACATTGGAAGACGGAGCATGAAGAAGGCATACCTTTTTTTTTTTTTTTTTTTTGCCTGTGTCAAATAGATCTTTTTTTTTTAAAACATTTTATTAGGGTCTCATACAAGTCTTATCACAATCCATACGCACATCAATTGTGTAAAGCGCATTTGTACTTCATTCTCAAAACATTTTCTCTCCACTTAAACCCCCGGCATTAGGTCCTCATGTTTCCCCTCCCTCCCCGCTCCCCACTCCCTCATGAGCCCTTGATAGTTCATAAATTGGTATTTTGTCGTATCTTGCCCTGTCCGACGTCTCCCTTCACCCACTTTTCTGTTGTCCGTCCCCCAGGGAGGAGGTCACATATAGTCCCTTGTAATCGGTTCCCTCCTTCCTACCCACTCTCCCTCCACCCTCCCTGCCCTGCCACTCACCACTGGTCCTGCAGGGCTCATCCTCCCTGGATTCCCTGGATTTTCAGTTCCTATCTGTACCAGTATACCTCCTCTGAATTCTAGTCATGGTAGTGGGAGCAGGGAGTAAACATTTAGGAAGTAGAGGAAAGTTGTATTTCTCATCGTTGTTACATCGCACCGTGACTGGCTCATCTCCTCCCCGAGACCCCTCTGCAAGGGGATCTCCAGTGGCCTATTAATGGGCTTTGGGTCTCCACTCTGCACTGCCCCCATCATTCACTATGGCAAGATTTTTTTGTTCTGATGATGGAAGGCATACCTTTAGAAATCTCAGGAACACTCAATCTTGTTCAGATATGGGTAGTCCCTTGATAAATTTCCTTCCTGCTTCTCACTTTCTCATTGCACAGGGAGAAAACGGTAAATTTTTTCCAGTAGTTTCCCTCTCCCTACCAAACTACTTCATCAACAGACTAAAAGCTTCTAATACATTTTCCATTTACATAAAGCCAAGCCAAAACAGTCTTAATGACCATAGTCTATTAACCGCTTAGGGCCCTTTACAGTTGATTTTGAGCTGGTCATTTAAAGTAAAGACACTGGTCAGGGACTATCCACGAAACATGATAAAATACTGGACTAAGTGTATGAAACCTTTGTTATAAAGAACTCTCAAATGTAAAATATGAGGGCTAAGTCCCATTGCTTGTTGTTTTTTTGAATTGCACTGACTTGATACAGTAAAATATTCATGTTGAATTACTTCATCAGCTAAATCTTTATGTAAATTATTTTTATTGGGGGCTCATACATCTTACCACAATCCATACCGTCATCCAGTGTCAAGCACATTTGCACATATGCTACCATCATCCTTTTCAAAGCATTCTCTTCCCACTTGAGTCCCTGATTATCAGCTCCCCATTTCTTCCCCCTCCCCTTCCCCGCCTGCCCACCCTACCTCATGAACCCTTCAGAAGTTTTAGATTATTTTCATCTTACATCGTTCTCCATCGACCCCTCACCCATTTTTCCATTCTTCGTCCCCCTGAGGGGGGTGGGGGGGTGGTTATAGGTTGATCAAGTCCTATCATTTCTTAAGGTTCCATTTGGCATTATAGCTATCCTTTAGAAAGATTAAACCCCACTTTTCTCTGAAAGCAAAGTAGCTTCCAACAACTTAGAATGGCTGTATCTAATACAGCTTCTCAGTCATACAAACAGAAGTTTGTCAAGAACTCTAATTTTCATGAGAGAATGTTATACTAGAGTATTAGGTGGTTCACTTGGGAAACTTTCAAATGGATCTCTGTAGTTACAACTCCACCACTGGTCTGTCAGCCTGTCACACTGTGGTGGCTTGCACGTTGCTGTGTGCTGGAAGCTATGTCACTGGTATTTGAAAAGCCAACAGTCACCCAAAGTGAACAGGTTTCAGTGGCGCTCCCAGACTAAAAAGGAATGAAAAGGAACTCAACTCCCCACTTTGGAGGAAAAAGCTGCTTGAAAACCTTATGCACAGAATTCAACTGTGCAGGTCCTAAAACACTATGGATGACCTTGAAAAGAATGGGGATTCCAGAATACTTCCCTGTGCTCACGAGGAACTTATACATGGATCAAGAGACATTTGTGTGAATAGAGCAAGAGAATACTGCAGGGTTTCAGATCAGGAGAGGTGTGCATCTGGGGTGTAGCTTCTCACCATACTTATTCAATCATATGCTGACTAATCAGAGAAGCTTGATAATTTGAAGAATTTGGCCTCAGGATTGGAGGAAGGCTTATTAATAACCTGATATGCAGATGACACATTTTTTAAAATAAATCATTTTATTGGGGGCGCTTACAGCTTTTTTAAAAAATTGTTTTATTAGGGGCTCATACAACTCTTATCACAATCCATACACATACATCAATTGTGTAAACCACAATTGTACATTCATTGCTCTCATGATCCAAA